GGACAAATTTTCGTGCCTCGGTTAGGTCTTTACACTTTTTGACACGTCTGAGGTTAGCATCGTATGGTTTGACTCGTTCCTTTGTTTTAGTGTCCTTTTTCCGTCTATTAAAACGCCTTGCCATTCTAATAGAAATGATTACCCAATTTGTACAAATGAATTTCGTCTACTTCACAGGTGGACGTTGTAACAGAGAAGTTAAGCTAGCCCGCCTAGTTATCAGAGTGATACGTTAGAGGGTTTTGTAGTATTCTAATGCACGAATAAAACTTCATAACTTCAATTTACTGGAGTAACACGTGATCTATGTCACGCCTGCAGGATATGATATCAAATGAAATCAATTCAAAAATCAACAGTAAAGTGGACAGTCGTGCGTGCTTTTAATTATATTACTTGCTCAGTAATTGTACATCAATCATTCTCACTAAAATAGTCAGGGTTTGTTATTCCTGCTGTCATATACAAGTCCATTGTTAGTATGCTTTTTTTCGTTGAGCTTGGTAGCCGTACTTGTGGTCCTGTTGGCTCTTTCTTTGGGAAGACCGATAGGTCTCCTGTTTTCGAGGTCTGTCATTAGTAGTGTAAGATAAGGAGTTTGGTTTGTCTCGGAATTCCTGAAGTTCCTTATTATGCAGGGTGTTAATTTTAACGATTACTTCATTAAATTACCTTTGTTCATTGGTAAAGTCTGTAGTTACTTTCCTCAAATGTTGAAGAGCTGATCCTCAAAAATTGTGAAAAGTTGCTTGATTTTTCTCTCACGTCGTCGTCAATATAACTGAAAACAGCCTGTTCAGACTCCTTGACATTGTTTTCTGTAGCTTAATTGTTTCCAGAATAATTCAAATTTCTCATTCTCTACTCTTCTAAGATTTAGACTACAGGGAATTCTTTCTGCAGAGAATACGGAGGATACCGACCTGTGCTTAGACTGTAGTTGATGATTAATGCTTTCTTTTCTTTTTGAGAGGATTAGGCGTTTATCTAGCTTGTCCTGGATTTCCTTGAGGTCTCTAGATGAATTGCAATAAGGAACTTTTTAGGCTCTTCCGTCAGATTTATTGAGATATCCAGGTCCGGAATGATGGATGCCGTCTCTTTGATTTCCCTGTATATCATCAAGCAGAAACTCGAACGCTGTATTTATATATTTTTTAAGAGAGAGTCTTTTGGGGCGTTTTAGCATATTCTTGGTTGAGGTGAGTTTTGGTGAGACATGAGTAATATACAGAACTTCTTTTGGTAGAATTTATTATACCGTCCAGTATTGGTTTCTTTCTAGTGACACATTTACTATAATTAAGCGGATGTTAGATTTGGTAAAAACAATGTGTTAGATGATGCTTCAAGGTGAGATGAATCACAAGATGAAAGACTTCCTTTAAGTTTGGCTTAATGGTGCCTTATAGGTCCTTAATGATGGCTTAATGGTCGTCTTTAAGTCACCATTAAGCACCTTTAAGCTACATTTATGTAATAAATACACCATCATTAAGTTACCATTAAGCCATCTCAAAGTCCTTAATGGATGCTTAAAGGTAGCTTAATGGTGGCTTACAGGTGCTTAATGGTAGCTTCTAGACAATCATTAAGTCACCATTAAGCCACCATTAAGCCAGACTTATAGGTGCTTAATGTCCAAACTCCATTAAGCAACCATTAAACCACCTTTAAGCCACCATTAAGTCACCATTACGCAGTCGATAAAACTGCTTTTACGGGTTAAATATTATTTTTATAATGATTTCTTCGCAAAAATTATAAATGTCGAGTTTATACATTTGTTAATTTAGCGAAAATAATGTAAAAGAAAGAAAATTAAAAAATAAATAAATAAATAAATGAAAAAAAAAGAGCATTCCCAACAGGATTTGATCCCACGACCTTTAGATTGGAGGGCGAACGCTTTAACCAGTGAGCTATCGAGGTTGTTGAATTGTAAGTGAAATATGAAACCTTTATTGTTAACAAAACTTGTTTGGAATGGTTACAGGTACCCGTAGATGTATTTTTTTCCTTCTGATGTTTGTATTTATTAATCAATAATACGAATAATTATATTTATATATATATTTAAAAAATTTTTGATAAAGTTTTATATTACGTTAATATTTCTTAGCCTTGGACCGGAGTTCGGTGTGATGGTGTGAAACAACTTTTTGATTTTAAGTAACTGAATAGTCCTCGTTCTGTTATTCGCAGATTTATAAGCATGAACAGATTGAAATTTAACAGATATAAGAAAATTTTGTTATTAAAAAGGCATATATCATCGAAAGAGAACGATTGGGGAAAAAAACAGAGTATAGTTCTTATAAATATGCTGCGGATATTTACGATTTTTGACAATCTTTGCTTAACAATTAAGTTATAAGATATTTTTGTAACATATCATCTTCAGTTTTAATTCTTTTTATATCATTATGGGATCAAAATAATTGTCTTTTTGTGTACAATCATAATTTCTAATTTGTCATATGCTTGCGTAAATTTTAAGTTTTGTAAAAAAATAGATCATGAAAATCTGTCACTGTACGTTCCCGTGTATAGTTTACTGTTAATTGACCGGGGATTAGTGGGGACACCTAATTAAGGTCTATTGTCTAACTAGTCGATATACTGTACACTGATTATTTTACCCCGCTTCTCAATGTGTATAAATCTGGCTGGATACCCTGTTTAATCTGATCGGCTGTTCTTCTGAAAATTGATTTTGAAATAACAATCATTGAAGACCGACTATATTTTGATCAATTCTTACTTCTGCATTATTTTAAATAAATTCTTACTTCTGCATTATTTAAAAAAAAATCTTACTTCTACAGTATTTTAAAAGAAAGGAAAAAATAATGACACTTAACCACGAATTAATTCAAATTATATTCATGAATTGATTCAAAGATTGGCAATATAATCTATACCTATATATATTTTTTATATCTTAAACATTTCTCTACCCAAAGAAAAATTAAGAGACTTAGAGATATTCCAGAAGAAAATGACTCTAATTACATTTCCTATGAATTCGGCAGTGGAACGTGGCTCTCCAAACACGAAAAAAAATTATGTGATTTTTTTTTTTTAAAAATTAATATATATTATGTATTTATGGATAAAAATAATTTTAAAACAAGTATTCAAACAAACTGATTTTAGGGAGCGAAAATTTTAAGGCATTTGGTGAAGCTGTTCTCAGTTCCCGAGTTTATATGCATTGACAAAGATGTTAGAAATAGCGAGAAAAAAAATATGAATTGAATAAGTATTTGCGTAAATGATACTGAAACAACTTCAAACTTAACAAGTTAGTTTAAAGACTTGATACTGGATGCGTTAAGGTGGTTTAATTAAGTTTGGACATTAAGTCACCATTAAGCTGCAGCTTAATGGTGGCTTAATGGTAGCTTAATGAAGTTTGGACATTAAGCACCTAGAAGCTGCAGCTTAATGGTGGCTTAAAGGAATTAACTTCTATAAGCCACCATTAAGCTACCATTAAGCCACCATTAAGCGATTGCTTAAAGATGGTCTTTCGTCCTGTGAATGACCCCAGACAATATAGGGATGTGTGATTCCAGACGGTTTGGTGGGATGGGTCATGACGTCAATGTCCCAAAGAAGACCCCAGAGTATACCTCTTACTACTGGCATTTCGTAATCTTCATGGTCGTTATAATGATCTAGCTAGCAAATATACCGGTAACCTATCATTGGGTCTTATTTTCGCTGACCTGATCTTAATTTGGAGCCCTTAACCGGTATATGGTGACGTCTGTATATGAGTGAAAAATTCTCGAACGGGTCGTAAAACAACATACAATCAATGTGCCGTTTTAACACTGATGCAACTGAAGTATAGTTACTAGAAATTTTTCTAAAGGGATTTAATTGGGGTACACAAAAGTACAGTTACAAGAATTTATAGAAACTTTCTCATGTACCAAATTTAAATCAAATAAAAATTTCACTCTTTCAAACAATTTTGCAAACAGCTGTCTCGTATGACAATTTTGACATTTTACTGGATTGCGATTTGGACTGAAAAGTCCAGTATCTTTGTTGCCAGCAGTACACAGGGCAGGGAATTGCACGATGCAGTCAATGTTCATTGTACATGTAACACTGATGGCATCAGTTTCTCCCGCTTTTACGAACCCAACATCAGCGGTCTCTTGAATGTTGGTGTCGGGCAAGTCGTGATAGACTTAATGCCGTCAAAACTGTGAAGCGATACAGCTTTGAATTTGTAGGACTTTGCAAGATCCAACTGGTCAATGTGCCTGTCCCAAGCACAGACATGGATTATCTTCTACCGTGACATAGGACTTTATTATTTCGCCTGATTTGATGGTCTGGAGGCTTGGATCTGTTTTGTTCATTTCTTTCACTTGAATTGTGATCCAAAAGAAAATATTTTATACAATCAGACTTGCATAAGAGAATCAATAAAGATAAAGATATTGATTTTCAGGTGCCGAATTCATTGTAAAGTCATCATTTAATTTTTCTAAGTAACTTTAATCTTACAAGTTCGTTGAAGATGCTGGTGTTTGAAAATTTAAAGAAAATAAAAATGTAGAGATAACACTTGTCAGAAGAATAAATCTACGATACATAAAGAGCTAGGTTCACTTTATGCATATTGTTGTGTATTGGGACACAAGTAAGTACAACACGTGTTCATGGAACCATGGAACTACTTTAATAACGAAGAACACATAATAGTAAAAACAAATAACGTATACATAACATATTTCCGGAATACATGGACATAACATTCCTCCCTCTTAAGTTTTAAAGTAAGATATACCCCTTTACATTGTTTTCTCTTATATAATGGTAAGTCTCGGAAATAAATGACAACATACAAATGTAAATATACATTTAAGATCAAAAGTATAGGCAACATACGTACAAATGAGAAACCTTTGTTTCCCTGTGATACCATGAGGATTATTATGCCTCAATCTGCACTAGTATCACATTTCACTTCAATGTTAAACATAATCGTCAAGATGTTTGGGCGGTTTCCTGACACGACTCGGATATCTTGGTTCAGGAGCAGCTTGAGTAGATGGCACAGCTGAGTAATCATTGGATGGATGCAAAAGATGTGGCTCTGTATTGGACGCGGTTGAGTTCTGTTTCGCGATGTTTGGCTTCACTGGTTGTTGACTCACAGCTGCATTACTAGGTTGAATATGCAAGTTTTCCTGAATCGGCACATTTGAAGAACGCAACTGATCAGCGTGACGTCGCCATGTGACTCCTGGTGTTACTTCTACAGAATATGATACAGGTCCAGTCTGAGCTGTTACAGTTCCGGAAGTCCACTGACAATGATTCTTTCGGTAGTCACGAACAGCAACAGAATCTCCTGGTTCGAATTTACGCAACACACTTTTTCTTCTTTCGCGCACTTCACACTGTTTCTGCTCTACCTTCCTCCTAACATCTGGTTTCATGAGGTCTAAACGAGATGGTAAGTTTCCGCCCATGAATAATTTTGCTGGACTTTCATTTGTTGTACACTGTGGAGCATTACGGTAAGCCATAAGAAAATTGCTTAGTTTCTTCACCACACTACCACTTTTCTTTTTACTCGACTTGAGACTCATCTTGAATGACTGTACAAATCTTTCTGCTAAACCGTTAGTACTGGGGTGACATGGTGCTGAGGTTATGTGTTTTATACCATTTCCTCTGGTAATTTTGGCAAACTCCTCTGATGTGAATTGAGGTCCATTGTCGCTTACAATTTGCGATGGAAGGCCATTACGTGCAAAAACAGTACGTAATACATCTATGGTCTGGGAAGATGTTGTGGTTTTCATAGGTATCACCTCTGGCCACGCTTTGTTTCATGTTGGATTGTTTCGGGTTTTATTGGTAGATGTTCCAGTTGACTGACATGCAACATCTCCACTTCCGCTTCCTTGTCCACTAATCGGCTACCCTCATACGTGACAGGTAAGCGTGACAAACTGTCGGCATTTCCATGTATCTTTGTATTTCTGTAAACTATATCATAGTTGTATCCAGCTAGGAAAAGGGCGTACCTTTGCAACCTAGCTGCTGTTGTATTTGCGATCCCCTTCTTTGGACCAAATATAGAGATAAGTGGTTCATGGTCTGTAATAAGACGAAAATGTCTTCCGTAAACATAAGTGTTGAAACGTTTTACTCCAAATATAATTCCTAGAGCTTCCTTCTCTATCTGTGAGTAGTTTTTCTCAGATGTGCTGAGTGAGCGGGATGCATAAGCAATTGGTCTTTCTTCACCATTGGGCATAATGTGGCTCAAAACAGCTCCAAGGCCATAAGGAGAGGTGTCTGTCGCAAGACATAAGGGTAGGATTGGATCATAATGGGTAAGTATTTCATCTGATGTGATGAGTTTTTAACAGTCTTAAAGGCCTCCTTACAGTCTTTTGTCCAACACCACTTGCGGTCCTTCTCCAGTAAGCTGTACAGTGGGTGAAGCACTGTAGATAAATTGGGAATGAAACGTGCATAGTAGTTCACAATCCCCAAGAATGAACGAAGCTCGGACACATTAGTAGGCTGTGGTGTATTTACAACTGCGTCTATCTTCTTCTGTGTCTTTTGTAAACCATTACGGTCAATTTCATGCCCACAGAAAGATACTTTATCCTTGAAAAATTGGCACTTGTCCAAGTTTACTCAGTCCATATTCTGCCAATCTGCCAAGCACAGCATCTAAATTCCGTAAATGCTCTGCTTCATCTTTGCCTGTGATGATCATATCGTCAATAATGCACTTCACTCCAGGAAGTCCTTGAAGCACCATATCCATTGAACGCTGCCAAATTGCTGGCGCAGATGCAACACCATACACTAGGCGATTGTAACGATATAAGCCCTTTTCTGTGTTGATGGTCAGTAAGGGACGGGAATCTTCTTCTACCTCCATCTGTAGGTAGGCATGTTTTAAATCCACTTTTGAGAATTGTTGTCCTCCAGATAAAGCAGCAAATATATCTTCAATTCTTGGAAGAGGGTACTGGTCAACTTCTAATACTGGGTTAAGAGTCACCTTGAAATCTCCACACACACGAACTGAACCATCCTTCTTAGTGACTGGTACAATGGGCGTTGCCCATTCACTACAGTTGCATTTCTCCAGAACACCATCTTTGACTAACTTTTCTAGTTCTATGTCAACTTTAGGTTTTAGTGCATAAGGCACCTGTCTGGCTTTCATAAACTTAAGTTTTGTATTGGGTTTGACATTCAACCTTGCCTTAATTCCCTTAAATGTACCAAAATTGTCCTCGAATATACTCAAATGTTTATCTAACACAGTTTTGAGTTTTTTTTTTCTGTTTTACAAGTTACAAGTGCTTTTATTTCTGGCCAGTTCAATGTAATCTGTTTCAGCCAATCCCGACCAAATAGTGTAACTCCAGCTTTTTCCACAACATATAGATTAAGATTTTTGCACTGGTCCTGGTATCTCACACTAACATCTGCGATACCCACAGGCTTTATTCTTTCTCCAGTGGGTGTCTTCAACAAAATGTCACTAGGTTTCATCTTGACATTTGGAAATTTCTCCTTGAATATTTTCTCAGGAATTACAGATACTGCGGCCCCTGTATCCAATTCCATTTCCAGACTAACACTGTTTACTATGGGTGTGATCCTTATCACATCGTCTGATCTGCTCATGGAGTTAATATCCATCTCCGAAGTCTTAATGTAGATCTGGTCACCATCACTATCTGAACTGACATTTATCATGTGGATACTCATCTTATTTTTCTTCTGGCTGCGACATGCATGTTTGGAGTGACCCTTCTTGTGACACTTGAAACACTCCTTGTCTCTGTAATAACAGCTTTGGGGATGGTGGTCACCATTGCACCGGAAACATGATTTTCCTCCCTTGGGGGTATATTTCCCTGATGTCCCACCGTAGCCTTGAGATTTCTTTTTAGTATGCAGTTTATGTACACTTGCACTAGGACTGTGCTTAGATTGTAGTTCTGTGGCATCCCGGGCTGCTGTCTCCATTGCAACGGCTATATCCGTGCAGAAGTAAAGGTTAGTTCAGCCTCAGATAGAAGTTTCTTTTGTATATGCTCATTGCGTAAGCCACAAACAAGTCTGTCTCGTAGCATATCATCCAGAATAGCCTCATCAAATAAGCAATGTTCAGATAACTTTCTCAGTGCTGCTACATAATTAAGAATAGTCTCACCTTCTGCTTGTTCCCTCTTATGAAAGCGAAAACGTTCAGCTATGACTAGCGGCTTTGGACATAGATGCTTTCGTAGTGTCGCTACTAAGTCGCCATACGATACCTCTGAAGGTTTCTTGGGTCTCGTGAGCCCTCGCAGCAGTGAATAAGTGTTTCCACCAATAAGTGTAAGTAAAACGGGTACTTTCTTGTCTGTCTTATTGTTCATGATAAGAATCCCATGACTCAACTGCACTATCAAATGGTTCCAATCGGCCTATTTTTCCTGCCATGACTGTGAAAGCACGTGGACGGTACACAGAACAAATTCGGTACACAATCCGAACAGTTACTTGCACAATCCTCGTCGCCAATGTTGTGTATTGGGACACAAGTAAGTACAACACGTGTTCATGGAACCATGGAACTACTTTAATAACGAAGAACACATAATAGTAAAAACCAATAACGTATACATAACATATTTCCGGAATACATGGACATAACACATATATTGGCCCTGTAGATATACCGATTTATTAACTAACACTTTATGTTCCAATTTAAACATCAAGATAAAGTAGAAACTTGGTGCTTTCATTTCCTTTTAAAAATTTTCTCCTGAAAGCTAAGATCTTGGAAAAGAGGCTTCATGGAATTGCAATGTTCTTGAATTTTAAGGAAAACAGGTATATTTGAGTACTTTCACAGAAGAGAAATAATATGAGCGCACCCTCTGATCTTAAAAATAAAACATGTTTTGTAATCCTCAGAAATAGTTCTATCATTTAATAGTTGCATATTTTAGATCAGAGGTTGCGCTCTATCTTAAATACCGAAAAATAGCTTTAAAAAATGGCTGTTTTTGTACAATTTCTCAGGATATGAGGAAAATGACGCATTTCATGACGCTATAATGCATTGCCTAGCCAGAAAATTACGTCATTTTTGATAGATACGCAGTCACCAAAGGTCTAAATGATATTTCATGCATTGTTAACTAAAACCAAGCAGTTTCAGTTTTTCTGAAATTCACAGGGCCAAAAGAGGCCCTAAGTGAACCTTGCTCCTTGTGTGGCAGAGATGAATGTCATTCAGCAGTACATCCCATCTTCAATGGACATATAAAAAGTGTACTATGTTCTCAATTTAAGAATCTGTGTACTATCTTTCATCGTTTAAAATCTCTAGTGCCCTTAGAAGATCACTCCATCGTGTATCTACAGCAGGAAAGGACATAAACCATGTTGGTAGACCAAGCTGTCGTATCATTGCAAAAACATCTTCCCTGTTTCAAGATAAAAAGGAGAATTTTTCAAATGTTGGAATACATAAAAAATCCCTCATTGTGTGTAACATGTCGTTAATTTGATCAGCATTTCGTATTTTATTTGCTCGAAAGATTTTACCCTTTGTTTTGCACTTCCTAAAAGCTAAATTGCATTTTTCTGTTAACCTGTTTAGTTGAATCTTTTTTAGTTTAAAAAACAAGTTTGGTACTGACTGTTCAGCACGTCTATCAACACTTCATAATTCCCATTAGGCAATATCAGCATATAAAACGGGTACTTGATGCTGATCCTTCTCTACTCTACCACAAAATATTGTTGGAAATGACAAATATTCAGCCATATGATTTTGATACAAACTAATTGGACGTTGTCCTTCTCCTGGAGCAAATATAAAGATCTGATTCATATCATTTGACTCACTTTCTAGTAGTGTATCAGAATTTCCATCCTTAGCACTACCATCAACTTCACGAAATTCATCAGAGTCTGATTCATCTGATTAGTCATGCATTGTTAAACCTTGATTGGTGTGGTCCTCTATAAACTCTCTCATTAATTCGCTGTATATTGGTAAGCTCATGGAACCAGTTGTCATCTACGAGGGGTTATCAAAAAGTTCGTGGACTGATGCGATAAAATTAATACTATGTAGTCATTGATTACAAAATTTATTGGGAACATAAAACAACAAAAGCTTAAGAAGTGTTGAAAATTTCAGCTTGATATTTTGATTATTTGCCAAATTATCATTAATTAAAAAAGGCATTATATGATTATCCGGCGTTGTTGCTGTTTAGTTTCATGACGTCCGATAACGTCATTATTTCTCAATGCCCGTTCCTTCTGCCTCAATACACTTATCTTGATGAGATTCTCTGGAGTAAATTAAAGACCTAAACCCGTCTTGTTTATATGACTTTACAATGTCAGGAACTCCTGATTTCAATGCATTAATATTGTAAATATTGAATCTATACTTAGGAAAAGATCCTCGCTTGATTTTGCTAGCATAATTTTCTTGTCGGAGTTCAATGTCAACCAATGATCAACGTCACTTTTCGACATGACTGACTTTGGACATCCTGACTACAAATCAACATTAACCGTGTGTCTCTTTTCTTGCTGAATCTGTTTTGGTATTAAAAAACAAATACTCTTGATGAATTTTATTTCTCTGTTGCCTGTTTAAACATTTTCTAAGTCTATACCAGGTTTTCCAGGGGCTGAAACTTTATACAATGCTGTAAAATGACACCCTACCCCCTTTCGACGTCATTTTTAACCCCTTTATTGTTTGGACATTCAATATAAAATTTACGATAAAATTTCGTAAAATATA